ATCTGATTTCTCTGCGAATCTTCGAATTATACGAATACTCCCCCAAATCTGAATAATTATCAGAATAATCTCCGAATTATGAATAGGTTCTAATGCCTTTAGCATTTAAATGTTTCAAAATGCATCCCTATTTATTTATAGGGTAAACAAATAATTAAAATATGTATTAATTTTTTTCATCTATAATAAGGAGGCAAAATTATTATATTATAATATTTCTATTATTCCTCTACCTCTTTTACCTTTATTTATACCCTCTATTTTTCTTATCTCCCCTCTATTCTTTTCTCCTATTTAACAGGGCTCGGAACGTACCAACTAAGCCAATTTTACGGTATCTATGGATAACTCACCAACCGATAAAATTTTGAAGTTTATCAGTAATTAAGTTTATCGGACTCCAGTTATAACAAGAACTATTTCTCATTTTTGTCACCTATTCTGGCTTTTTAGCCACCTATTTTGGCATTTTTTACAACCTATTTAGGTACCTATTTTAAAGTTTTTACAACCTAAAAATCCGTGCCCTATTGATCAGTATTTAATTTTATCGGAGCCCAGTTATAACAAGATATTTAATAATGTTATTTTAGATTGCTTAAACTTTTGTTTGTATTTTAGAAAATATTTTTTATATTAAAATTTAAGATGAATAAATTTATTGTCATTCTCCTCTCATATTTGGTTGTTCTGTTGAAAATCCAAATCAACGCTAAAATGTTTGAGGTTGGATTAAAAATAAAAGAAGATTGGGAAGAAAAAAGAGAATTTATTTATTTAAAAAATATTCAAATAAAGGAACGTTTCGTATTGATAATGAATGTAAAATCAAATAATAGAATAGGTGATTATCTTCATAAGAATACTGGATCGTTTTGTAAACTTGAAGTAAATCCTATTAATAAAGTTTTTATTACTAAACTAAATGCGAAGTCTAAATTTAGTCTTCAATTAAAAATGAGAACTTTGATTGAAATTGCCAATAATGAAATTGTTAAGAAATTTTTGAAAGACTTTAAAAAACAGGTATTATATTTGATTATTCGAAATTTAAGCCATCAATATTACACAAATTTAATATATTTAAGATTCGCTTAAATAATAATTTTATCATGAATAATAATTATTACGAAGCTTCGATATTAGAAGAAAGTTTAGAAAAAATAAATAACAAAGAATTATTAAAAGAAAATATTGAAAGTCACAAAAATAAACTTTTATCAAGTTATTGGACTGAAATAAATTTAATTGGATATAAATTTAAATTGTTTGGAAAACAAAAAGTTGAATATACGAAGGAAGAATTAAAAAGCAGAATTATTAACATCGGCAGAGAAATAAGTAAATAGTTTTTTTAATTTTTTATTTGTTCACTTGCCTAAAAACATACATATTATTTTTTATTATTTTAGGAGAAATAATTGAAAGAAGTAAACAAAACTGTTTAAATTGTAGAGTCACACAAACAAAACATTGGTATAGATACCTAAAAGAACATAATTTCTGTCAGCCATGTCACGATTATAATATATATAATGGCAAAATGAGACCTGAAGGAAGTTTGTATCAAACTAAAATGGTATAGATTTATTATTATTATAATTAACAAATATTTGATAAAAAAATTTGAGTAGACTTATTAGGGATCTGTCAGCCATGTCACTTTGTATAAGGATTATGTATAAGGATTTCAGTATTTTTCTAAATATGTACACGAACATTACTTTTGCCACTTAAGGGTAATTTAAACTTAGAAAAAAACAAGCTAGTTAGAAGCATCCCTGGACAAAATCAGTTCGTCGAATATTAGAAAAATAGTTTAAAAAATTTATCTGAGAACTAGTTTCAAATCCTATCTATTTATATATTTTAGCGAATCACTAGAGATCGAAAATGTTTTACTTGCGGAGCAAAGAAAACATCAAAGTGGCACCGTCATTCAAAACCTGAACAATATATATGTAAAAGTTGTTACAATAAACAAACAATGATAAACAAGAAAACAAATAAAAATTAAACAGTACAGGAATCGATTAAATAATATTATATTATTATGATTTTTTAACATAAATCTTCTGAGTTTATTGAACAAATTATAAAACTATGTAAAAGATATTCTATTTAGATTTTTCATGTAGATTTTTACATTAGGTCAGTCAATTAAAAATTTATCCTTATTTCATATTCATAATTAGTTGAATCTATAATTCCGAAATATTAATAACAAAACAGACTTCAGAAATTGATAGCAAATTTATAAAAAAAATCTGAATATAAAACCTACAACCATATTCTATATTATTTCGTCGTCGATAAAGTTTGTGTAACAAATTTGCGCATAAAACTGCAAGCAGCAGCATCAGCCCGTCTATATTATGAAATTGACTAGAAATTGTTGAAAGATTAGTTGTTGAAAGACTAGATATTAAACTTGATTCTGAACAGAGATATATTCACGGTATACATATCAATGCTAAAAAAATAAGTTATAACTAGTTTAGTAATTTAGTTTTAAATTGCAGTTTAAGAGCACTACTAAAAGATTTTATGAACTAAAATTCAACTAAAAAACATTTTTTCGAAAAAAATTTTTCCCGAAAAATTTTTCGAAAATTTTTTTAACAAATTTTTAGTAAAAAATTTTTGCCCAAAAAATTCAAAAATTTTGAAAATTTTGCCCGGTTTTTACTAAAATTTCTCAAAAAATGCCAAAATATGAACAAATTTCGGTAAAAATATGAAAATTTCCTAAAATATGCACAGATATGCAAATATGCACTAAAGTACCGAAATATGCAAAAATATGCTATTGGAACCGGGTCCCTAATGTTCGTACCGTTGTAAAAACACCATATTTGAGCGTTTCAGCTCATGGCATATCAGCATGCAAAATATGCATTTGCATGTTTTGCCACTCCCTAATGATAAAATTAACTTATCTTGGGGGCCCTAAAATGATTCGCTCGAGATATATGTCATTCGAAAGAGCTCGATTACTGAGTCGAACAACTACATAATAAATATGTGCCGAGATAATGTCGTTAAATATTGAAAAACAATATGGGAGTAAGCTCAATTTTGGGGTAAAAATTCAATAATCCAAATGATAGCCTAAATTTAGCAAATTTTTTAAAGTCAATAAATACTATTCTATGTTAACTTTATTTCAAAATTATTTGAAAAAACATTCTTAAAACTTTTTTATTTTAAATTTTTTAAAATCTAATATTTAAATCGATTATTTATCTAATTTTTTCATTGATATGCTTTAAATCAATTGCAATATTGTGAGTGAAGAGGAAGGGTGGGGGAGTTTCACTCTCAGTTATTGCTAGCAATACATTAGCTGCCATTAAATTAATTAATAAAAGTAGTTAACCCAACGCCCCCGTCGTTGGAGGCAGAGGGGTCCGCAAAATTAATCCCTAATTAATCCCATGTAATTAGACCACTAATTAAGCCCAACCTAAAGGTTTAGGGACATCCGGTACCACTCCAAGAGGTCTTATCAGTGATAACTGATATAAGTTAAAAGTGTACGTGTAATTACCAATTAATTACATGTAATTAGTACACTAATTAGAGCCAACCTAAAACACATCCGGTACCAATTCAGGGACCAAAAGGTTTAGGTCCCTTTCCCCCACAAATTTTTAATATTTATTTCCTTTTTCCTTTTCAGAAATTTTCTTTTGATTTCTTCTATTGTATTTTTTCGCGCAGCGTGCGTGTAGTTTTCTTTTAAGTTTTTAGGTCATCTTAAAAACTTTTCCTTTCTTTGGAATTTTTTAAAATTTTCCTTTTGTATTTTTGTTCGCGCAGTGTGCGAACATCTTTATTTTTTAAAATTTTCTTTTGTAAATTTGTAGGTCAACTTAAAAACTTTTCCTTTTAATTTTTCAAATCTTTTCTTTTGAATTTTTAAAAGTTCTGGGTCATCTTAAAAAATTTCCCTTTTCTTAAAAAATTTCAACTTTCTTTTCAATTCCGGTCAGCCTGACCTAAATATTTCTTTTGTGAACAAAAGAGATTAAAAATTTATTGAATAAAATTTTTTGGATAGAAAAGAAAATAAAGGATTAAATAGTTAAAATAAAAAGACTGTAAATAAAAAATATGTTTTGAATGAAAAAATGAAAGAAAAAATTTAAAAATGAATAAAGAACTGGAGATAAATAAAAATAAAAATTAAAAATAAGATAATACTTGAGATATATTTAAACCTCATACTAACTATCTAGTCCAATAGCTCCTTCGTCTGCTCCAACCTATCACCTTTGCCTACATTGATTCTACATATTTTATCTCTCGTTTGTCAATTCCGACACTAGATTAACCCCTTCTAAATAAAATATTATAGAATTCTCAAAAATTAGGTCAATTTTTCAAGGTTATTATTAAAAATTTTAACCTAGATTAAAAATTTTAATCCGTTGTTAGAAAATTTCTTTAAATATCCAGCTGTGATTTAATTTGCAAATAACTTAAATAGGTGGAGCTAGGGAGGGTATAAAAAGCGATTGATTTTGATCATAAATATCATTCTACTGTTCAACATCTACTACTTCGAAACAAAACAAGCTTTCATCTTTTTCAATTTTTTGTTTTTAAATGGTTCCTCCACCTCCCAAAAAATTTAAGAATTTTACCATTTCCAATTTATTAGGCTCCGAAACCAATAATCCCTTTGTAAAAAAGCTTGGTCATGAGACCAAGTTTAGCCGAAAATTTAATGCGTCCAAAGTCTCTACTAGGTTCCTAATTTCTGACCTCCCCAATGACCCTGAATCCCTTCTAGCAGGGATTTTCCAAAGTACCATTGACGAAGCTCTTCAAGAGAGTCGTCAATGGGGGGTTGAACCTGAACAACTAGGTTGTATTATTTCGAGTCAGAATCTCGATTCTGACGTTTGGATACCAGTGCGGGATATCACCCCCAACACTATTGATTCAATCCTGAATCAATTCCTCAAGGTCGCCCAGAGTAAGAAACAGGATAATGGTATGTTATGGGGGGCTCCTTTTCAGGTCTCGGTTTCAACTATTCAACGAAGTAACACCCCCCGTCGAGTACATGGCCGCGGAAGAAATTCATCATCAAAACAGCTTAAAATCAATGACAACGCTTTAATTAAAATTCGCAACAACGACAACTATTGTTTATTCTACTCTCTTGTTGCCACCTTTATTTATGCAACGTGCTCATGGCCTAGATGGAAATTCTACGACTACATGCATAGCAGATTGGGAATGGCTAATATTTTCAAGAAAGACACAATGGATCTTATGGAAAGTGTTGGTGCACCCTTTGACCAGGACATCTACGATGCGGAAGAATGGATTCCCTCTGTGGTTGAATATTGGAATTTACTGAATAAAGGATGGTTTAAAGTTTATATATTCGGGGATTTGGGGGAAAAACCTATTTATATGTATGGTCCCGATAATTTTGATACACCCATAATTTTGTTTTATAATAAAGAGCACTTTGACGGGGTTCGTAGGGCTAGTAACCTTTTTGGCCAACCTTATTGCCTATCTTGTGAAAGCGTATATAATAGAAAATCAAACCATTCTATTTCATGTAAATCTAGATGTTCTAACTGTTCAAGGGTTGGCCCCGGGTTTCCTTGTAAAAATTTAGATAATTTCTTTGAACATTGTAATGGGTGTGGGAAAGAGTTTAAGAATGAGAATTGTTTTACCCACCATATCACCTCAAATTTCTGTAATTCCTCCAAAAAATGTGAAAAATGTGGAGTTATCTGGGATGTTAAGGATAATAATAGGAACGGAAGGGAGGGTCATATTTGTTCAGAACGCTATTGCACAACATGTGGTAGTTACCACGATCCCAAACGTGGGTGTTACATAAAGCCCCTTGTCATTAAACCCCCAAAGGCGTACCGAATTATCGCCTTTGATTTTGAAACCATGCAATATCGTGAGGGGGATAAGGGTAAAATGCACGATGTTAACTTCATAGGGGTAAAGGTAAATTGTCCCGGGTGTATCACTAATGGACCTGACCCTGATTGTAGTGTTTGTGGGGAACATAGGACTGTTACTTTCTCTACGAGACCTTTCCAAAACACGCCTGTTGACAGTCAAAATGTCACAGAGAATCCCTTAGAAGAATTTGTGTCATGGATTATCGATTCTTCCGTGACAGACACTGTTGCTTTCTCACACTTTGGGGGTAGATTTGATATGGTATTAGTTTTCAAGGAATTGTTTCTTAGAGGGTTGACCCCAGACATGATTAAAAAAGGTAATAAGTTGTATGAAATGAAGGTAAAAGTTGGTAAAAAACATTGGGTAATTTTTCGTGACACTTTTAATTTAATGCCCATGTCCCTTGCTTCCTTGGTCCCTGCCTTTGCACTTAGTGTAGAGGACAAACCCTTCTTTCCACACTTGGTAAATAGGCCGGAAAATTATGGTAAGGAAATTTTCCCGGTCAAGGATGACTATCTGGCTGATGGAATGATGCCTGAGAAGAGAGCACAATTTGATAAATGGTATGAACAACACAAGAATGAGCCTTTCAATCTGGATGAATCCCTGGCATCATATTGTACCAATGACGTGGAAATTCTTATGGCTGCTCTGGTTGCTTTTCGGCGCGAATTTTTGGAGGTTTCAAATGGATTGGACGTGCTGAGGGAGTCAATGACAATCGCCAGTGCTTGCATGAAACACTTTAGGACGAATCATCTTCAATCTCAACACCTTGGAATTGTTCCAGAGAAGGGCTACGACAACGCAGACAATCAGAGTTTGCTTGCTCTTCGATTCCTCAGCTGGTACGCTGAGGAACATAATGTCAACATACGTAATGCTTATTCTAAAGAAGGGGAAAAGAGGTTTGGGAATTATAGGGTAGATGGGTGGGTAGAAGAAAAGAAATTGGTTATCGAGGTCAATGGGTGTTGCTGGCATGGGTGTAAGAAATGTTTTCCAGATGATGAAATAAGACTTCCAAATGGGGTTTCTGCGGGGATTCAAAGGGAGAGGGATGAAAAACGTTTGGAATTTATTGAGAGTTTTGGAGTAGAAGTGGAGGTTTTTTGGGAGTGTGAAATAAGGAGCATGCTTTCAAGGGATAGAGTTATGAGGTTAAAGTTTAAGAACTACTTGGATAATGGACCGATCGATATTCGATCGGCCTTCTTTGGGGGGAGAACCGGACCACTCAAATTATTCCATAAAACGGGGGAGGGGCAAAAAATTTCCTACTATGATGTGACCTCCCTGTACCCGTTCATCAATGTATCAACACGCTACCCAATTGGTCACCCTGTCGTCCATATTCTAAACAACGATGTCAACTGGACTCAACCATCTGACAACACTTATGAACTGGCTCTTCTAAAAATTTTTGTGATACCTCCACGCAGCATCGACGTACCAGTACTTCCTATGAAAATTGGAGATGACGATGAAAGACTTCTATTTCCCCTTTGCTCCACTTGTGCAAAGGAAAATCCAAATGGGGATGTGAACGAGAACTACACTTGCAAACACACAGACCAACAACGTGGATGGGTCTCAATTTGTACATCAATTGAGTTGAACGAAGCATTGAAGGAAGGTTACGTGGTCACCAAAGTCTTCAGAGTCTTGGAATATAAAAATTATGACGACAACCTCTTTCGTCCTTACATTCGTGAATTTATGGCACAAAAAATTCACGCAAGCGGCTTTGACAACGACATCAAAGGAAACAAACAGATGGAAGAGAACTTCATCAAGGAGTGCAAAGAAAAGTTTGGTATCATCATCGACAGAGAGAAAATGAAGGTCAACAAAGGAAAGAGGACGCAAGCTAAATTATGCCTCAACAACTTATGGGGTCGCTTCTCTCTCCGTAACTTTGGATTGTCACAATGTGTGGTTACGGACGACCCTGCTGTGTACACCAAATATTCAAACGACCCTTCACTAATTATCAACTTTTTTGAAGAATTAACTGATGATCTACTGCTTATTTCCTACACCAAAAAGAAGGAATTTGTTGAAGAACATGACTCATCAAATGTCATCATCTCGTTGTGGACTACATCAGCAGCGAGAATCCACTTGCTACATGCTATGCAACAGGTTGTGAGAACTCCTGGCTGCACATTGCTCTACACCGACACTGACTCCTTAATATTTTCACACCCGATTGACAACTGCCCACTTCAACTTGGTCCTCATCTGGGTGAATTCACAGATGAGTACCCTGCCTTCAAAATTTTGGAATTCTGCTCTGGTGGCGCGAAACAATATGGCTTGAAGATGGAAAAGAAAGATGAGCCTGGGTCTGAACCTGTCTACGTGCTCAAGGTGCGCGGTATGACTTTGAACTGGGATGCAATCAACAATCAAGGAATGCGGTATGACATGTTTAAAGAAAAAGTTTTCAACTTTGCTGAAGGTGATTATGATCCTATTATTGTTTCTTACCCGAATTTTTTACTTCCATCTGTTAAAGATGGATCAGTTACCACTCTTCCTCTTAAGAAAATTTATAAGCCCTATGTCGGAAAGGGAGTAGTCCGCCCTTCTGATTATTCTGTATTGGACTTTGGATATATCAACTTGTAATTTTTCCCAAATTAACTTGGAGATGGAAAGTAGCCAGGGGTATGGGCACCCAAACTCTATACCAACCATCGTAATGTTGCGAGTCACACCACTCATTGACTTGTCGATGAATATCAAGTGTGTTATTCACATATTGTGTGGTAATCCTCGCATTGAAAATCGGTGGTAGCTGACTTGAGTAAATTCTCAAGTCCCTGGTTGAGTTTGGTGATGTCTGTCAAATGGCGAAGCCATTCTCCTTCTTTTTTTCTATATTTTCCTATTTTTATTCATTTATTTAATCACTATTGTATTTAATTTTTATTCGTGATAAAAATTTTATAATATGCTTTTTATTATTTAAAAAATACAATATTAAGAAAAATTAAGATGAAATGAATTACAGAATTAAGAGAAATAGGTTTACAATTTTAGGGGTAAAATTGCATAATTAAGGAAAATTGTTTACATTTTTAAAAAACACATTTACATAATTATGTGTAAAGTGCAGAATTAAGGAAAAGAACATTACAATTTTAGGGGTAAAATTGCGGAATTAAGGAAAAATATTACATTTCTATCATTTTTCAGTGTAAATAGGGGTACATACAAGGGAGTGCATATACATATAGGGTGCATGGATATCTTTACCATTTGTCCTGACTTAGGTCTCCTCTATAAATTTCATCATCATCTTCCTTGTTCATAAATATTGTTGGACTTCCAAGTGATGAAATTGATTCAGTTTTTGATTTATCTTCTTGTAGTGTTAAACGCCCCATCTCTACTGCTAAACGATTTATCTTATCCATGTGTTCTTCATCAACGAATTCCAATACTTCCAAAGGATAAAAACGATCCTTCTCTTGCGGTCTGCGATCGATAACACAATTTAAATAAGGGTTGCGCAGACGGATGCGATGTCTTGCGTAAAAATGTTGTGATATAGTAACATTATATGGTCTTCTAAGTCGTCCATAGGCGAAAATTCTGTTTGCGCCTTTTCTTGTCAAACCTCCGAATAGAAAGGTTTTTCTTTGATAATTTTTGTTTAAATATGTTGTTTGGACTTTACGATCCAAAAATTGTTTCATAACTCGTATACGAGTTTGAGGATTTACTAGGTGTCCGCTTAGACTAAGGACTGAACATTCAAGAAAGCGAGCGATTTCATCGATTACACGGACCATTTTTGAAGAATGAGTTTAAAAATTGAAGAATGAAAATTTTTTCAAAGTATTTTGCTTATATATGCCTCGGATCTCTTGATTTCATAATTGTTTATTTGACCTAGTTACATTTTTAATTTGTTACTTACTCCCCGCTGTGACGTGTGACCTATTTAATCGACTTGAATCTTAAACACAATTCATTATTAAAATGAACGAGGAAAGTTACGAAATCATAAGATTCGTCAACGGAGTTTGCGAATATCGCGAATTTAAAATAAGAACCTATGTGCATTCAATTAATGATGCTCTAAAAAATCACATTCAACTTGACATGGGGGCAAGACTTAGTATTCTCATCAATTACTTTAGAGCAGGTAAATGGTGCTCTGACTGTCTTGGTTTTGTTGTGAAACAAATGCAGGAAGAAATATTGGTTCCTAAGGATGAAAAATCTTTTGTATATGCTTTCTATCTATGTCCAGAATGTGCAGATATTACAAAGAACTATCTCGATAATTTATAAGTTTTTTCACAATTTTTTGTACAAATAAATCTGGATCATTTTGTTTATCTAATAAAGTTAAATATTCATCAAAGTTGTATCCCTTTGAAAGATAATAGGTAAATGAAATACAGTGTTGGGCACAACAATTTGAATAAGGGGACTGATATGTTCTAGCATTTCTAGTTACAATAGAAAAATTTTTTAGAAACGAATCTATAATACAAATACTTGTTGGAAGGTTTAGACTATCAAAATAGATTGCCTTTCTTTTATCTTGTACGTAAATGGAAATCCAATGTGAACCTTCAAATCCCTGAGGGTCCAAATTTACAATCAATACTTTTCCTTTCATCGG